CTTTGAGATAGACGAATATATTATTGATATAATGGTGATAACTGACTATACTATTTATAACAAGTAAGTTAAAAACCCGGCGGAAAACATCAGAGAAAATAAAAGAAACAAAATTAAAAACTTAATTTAATTTGGTTGCATTAGAGGTATGGTCTCTTCAATAGCTGAAAGGAAGGGTCACTGTGAACTTAACTTGTCGTTTGTTTCTAACATGTTTGAAGTAATTGGATATATCTAACTATTTCATTTTATTTGGCAGATAAACCTTGCAATAAAGAACCGAAATAATAAATATTCAAGATAACGCGTGATTTTCAAGTTGGCCAATCTATACTTCTACGTATACAATTGTACAGTTTGTTTTGTAAATTTGAACACACGCGAAGATAACGAGATTTGATTGATCGATCAAGACACCACACCCAAAAAACTATTCCGAGGCTCAAAAAACATCTGTGCATTATACTGTAGTATGTTCCTATACCTTCTTGGTGTGATGTGTGACAAATTCTAGAGCCACACCATACACGGTAAAATCGTACTAAATCTATTCTAGTATGGACTAGTGCTATCGTTTATCGATATCGATACCTTTTATTCCATAAAGAAAAGTGTAGATTTTTATAAGTTGTTGTATAACATTCTTTTTTCACTGAAATTGTTAAAAACTTTTTATAAGACAGTGGACGCTAACCACTTCTATCAACTATATTATCAAATATCATAGTAATAAAGATATGAATTGATCTCTATAGAAACTTTGAAAATAAAATGTAAATTTTATCCCATTACCCCATATCGCGACATGTTTCGTATGGTGACCCCTGCATCGCGATACGTATCATAACGTGGCATGATTGACGATGCCCAACACTACTATGAACGCTCAAACATACAGAGAAGTTTGCTTGGCAGAACAGTGTTTTCTGTGTATATATCAGAATATAATCAAGTGTATCTTATACGTCTATTTCAGCTGGTATAACCAAGCCCTTAATCCACATTCAATTCAAAAACGTTTTGAAGCTATTGGTAATATCAGGAAATATTATATAGGAGCTTATAACTGGGTACGCTCATGAATCCGACTTTAATTTGGTACAGATTGTACTTGCATACTTTCCTTAAATAACACTGTGTATGGTTTTGAGTCCACCTTTCGAAGAATTGATTTTTTTAATCGTTTATTAGGCTATGTAGGGTCGAATTTCCTTGGGTATATTGAAGAGCAGTATAGCGTATTTAGGGGAAGACCATTAGGTCTGTGTTTTTGAAGTGAAAGTGAAGCCTTCCAAATGCTCGAAATTCATCTCAAGCTACTGGGGGTCCGTGGCAGTGCAACGCCCCCTACCCTGAAGGGGAGACGTCTCTCATAGAGCTGATGGAATATATTTTTTATTTTTATAGGTGAATCTTATCTACGAGAACTTTCATGCCTTTGACTTCACTATAGAAATCAACGTAGCAGCCATTTTGATATCCGAGGTGAGACAATCAAAAATTCGGGGGCTTTTCTGCTGCTCTGGGGTCTTATTCTCGAGAATTTAACTCAATTGTAGTGTTTATGTCATCATCATATGATACAGCTAAATTTTGGCGTTTCGTATCCTTTCCAGAATTAAAACCATTTGTATTCGTCTTCAATTGATACACGAAACACCTTCAGATTATAGCAATGCGATCTCCAAAGAATATCTGTCCTAGAATATTATGCTAGAATGCGTTGACTGTATATATCCGAAAATTATGCACGGTGTATAGCCCCAATCAAACGACTATTGGGACCAATCGTGGGCTACAACAATGTACCATCAGGTTATCAAGAATTATACTCTACAGTTAGGTCTAGTATTCCACATATTCCTGCGACGTTTATCGTATCTAACCGTTGCTTTCACAGCACGATATTCTCGTCATTCATTTTGATTGGAAGAGACTTTAACCTCTTACACCGTCGATAAAGGGACATGGGTATTCCACTCCACTCCATTGCTTTTGCGTTACAGAATGCTACAACCTCACCGTGGACAGAGTCAGTTCGAGTTGGTAATAGAATTCATGGTATGAAAACTTTAAACAAAATATCAGAATGGGTTTTAAATAATACAGGAATATATCCAGAATACGATCACTATCAACTTTTCTCTAGGTAAGTATAGTTTACTTTATGATATTCCATTTTTTAACAATAGAATAACATTATATGCTTGACGGACGCCTTGAAAGGTAAATATACATGTAGTTTATATTCTGTTGTTGAAAAATGGAATACTGTTATAACATAATTACTTGATGGATGCCTTGAAAGTGGTGAATCATTAGATGAAAGAGGTAATTATAATTATCAAAAGGGGAGGGGGGATTCACAGGATAGGCAATTATTTCTCCACGTAAAATTCAATGAAATGTTGAAGTTTGTGTTAGGGTGTGTGGGAGGAATCACTTGCGAAATGCTGTGATTGAAATTAACTTTCGTTAATCCTACAATACAGACGAACACTGTAAACAAGTTATAGTGGTTAATTGAAGAGTTTTATCTGGTTTGTTACAGGTTTGATTTTGCTGATGACGAGGCTCTGAAGACGATTGCAAATAAAGGTAACATCTGTCTCCCTTTCAATCTTGACGGCATTTAACCAGTCGTCGGTCTATTGGTGTAACCTTGGATGAATTCATAGAATCAATGATTTGCACATCTTCTTGCCCGCAAAATCGTCGGCATATAGTAGCCATGGTTGTAGTTTTAAAAACCAGATCTAGAATCAAATGATTTGCACTTTCTTAAAAGGGATAGGTGCGCTATTTTTTAGAATCTTCATACTCTAGTCTCAGAAACTGGAATTTTTAAGCTAAGCCAATCAGTAATAGTGTTCACAGTTCACCTTCGAAATGTGAGCCTTCAAATCCACGTGTGTCCAGAATTATGCGCGTTTGAATGTTTAAATGACGACTCGTCATCTTAAGATACTCTGTGAGATATAAAAAAGATATATATAGAGAAAATTCCTAGTTTGAAGGATTAAGCGATTTTCTTACATTTCTACTACTTCTGAAGACTATTTACATATATTCAAGACAAAAATCAACAACCCAAACTGATGTTTCTGTCCCTTTAAACCCTTTTTCATGCAAATTTCCTTCGATAATGTTATGAGGCACTTTTCAATATTATATTTTTCATCATTACATACAGCTCATCAAGTTCAGAAAAGATGCATATAAAACCCACTTCATTTCAATAAGAGCTAAGGCAAAGAGCAACACAACACAATATCTCAATTTGTGTCCAATCAGTTCCAGAAAATAGGACGTCAAACTCAATTTCATTTCAAAAGATAACTGATCGAGATATATTAATTTCATTACATTTTAGAAACTAACCAATTTAGGAATATCATTTAGAAAAATAATATTATTTGGGTACGTTCATTTCATTCAATAATCTTATTAATTCAGGTAAACTTCATTTTATTTCATTTCAAATTTTAACTAATCCAGGTAAATCATATATCGGAAGTGTTTGTACCGGAAGTAGAAGTATATCATACGTAGAAGAACTAGGGGCATTTAACTCTGCTGATATTGCTGCTCACGAGCTCGGCCACAGGTGAGAAAAAAAGAATGAACGAATGAATGATTGAGCGGTATGAGGATCTTATTGTTGATGCAGTTTCAATTCCTCGGGAGGTGGGAGAAAGGCGTAGAAAAGGGGTGCCCGGTTTGCATCTGAGCCCCTCCCATCCAAAGCCCTTATTTTCAAATTTCAAATGATGGACATAGGACAAGAATAGCTCCCCTAGATAATTCTGTTGGCCCGTACTCGCCCCACCCCTGATCTAAAGATTCTAAAAAGTCACTGAGATAACGCCACCCATTGTTTTTCAGTTTTGGAGCCAATCATGATGGTTTTGGTAATCTATGTCCGGTAGGTAGTACAGATTTAATGGCGGTGATGTTTAACCCCCGTATTGCCCGGTCTAATAAACCGTCTATATGTACACTGAAAGCTATCAAGAAATATATGGAGGCGATGCAAGATTTCACGTAAGTTTTGTTTTCAAATTTGGAGAAAAATGTAATCATTCGAGATTTTTAAAGATATTCGTTTGAACTGTTTGGTTATACTTGTATACACAAATATTTCAGTTGTCAAGGGAACCAAATGAAATTTTTTTCATGCTCAAAATTCTGATTTTTTGTGTAAAGAGTTTTCTGAGTGCTATCTTGGTCAAATAAGTTTCTAAATCTATAATTTCAGCCCGGAATGTTTATTTGACGAGATGTCTATCAATTCAGATATACCAACATCTCACATCTTCCCTGGAATGGAATATGGTCCCGACCAGCAATGTCGACAGGTTTATGGTAAAGATTCCTTTTACTGTCGGGTAGGTTGACTGTTCACCACTTACCCTCTTCCCCTATAGCTATTGTGCGATTTCCCCTGCAATCGTTTTCATGTCGTAGAATATAACCTGACTGAAAAGAACGACTTATAGGTAGACAGCATTTTATAGGACGTATAGGTAGACATTGTCTTATAGGACGTATAGGTAGACACCTTTTTATAGGAAGTATAGGTAGATAGCAGTGTTATAGGACGTATTGGTAGACAGAATCGTATAAGACGTATAGGTAAATACTATCTTATAAGACGTATAGGTAAATACTATCCTATAGGACATATAGGTAGACAGCATCTTATAGGACGTATAGGTAGACACTATGTTATAAGACGTGTAGGTAGACACTATGTTATAAGACGTGTAGGTAGACACTATCTTATAGGACGTATAGGTAGATACTATCCTATAGGACATATAGGTAGACACTATGTTATAAGACGTATAGGTAGACACTATCTTATAGGACGTATAGGTAAATACTATCCTATAGGACATATAGGTAGACACTATGTTATAAGACGTATAGGTAGACACTATCTTCTAAGACGTATAGGTAGACACCATCTTATAAGACGTATAGGTAGACACTATGTTTCAAGACGTATAGGTAGACACTATCTTATAAGACGTATAGGTAGACACTATCTTATAAGACGTATAGGTAGACACTTTCTTATAGGACGTATAGGTAGACACTATCTTATAGGACGTATAGGTAGACACTATCTTATAAGACGTATAGGTAGACACTATCTTATAAGACGTATAGGTAGACACTATCTTATAGGACGTATAGGTAGATAGCAGTTCTATAGGACGTATAGGTAGACACTATGTTATAAGACGTATAGGTAGACACTATCTTATAAGACATATAGGTAGACAGCATCTTATAGGACGTATAGGTAGACACTATCTTATAAGACGTATAGGTAGACACTATCTTATAGGACGTATAGGTAGACACTATCTTATAGGACGTATAGGTAGATAGCAGTTCTATAGGACGTATAGGTAGACACTATGTTATAAGACGTATAGGTAGACACTATCTTATAGGACGTATAGGTAAATACTATCCTATAGGACATATAGGTAGACACTATCTTATAAGACGTATAGGTAGACACTATCTTATAAGACGTATAGGTAGACACTATCTTATAAGACGTATAGGTAGACACTATCTTATAAGACGTATAGGTAGACACTATCTTATAGGACGTATAGGTAAATACTGTCCTATAGGACATATAGGTAGACACTATCTTATAAGACGTATAGGTAGACACTATCTTATAAGACGTATAGGTAGACACTATCTTATAAGACGTATAGGTAGACACTATCTTATAAGACGTATAGGTAGACATTATCTTATAAGACGTATAGGTAAATACTATCCTATAGGACATATACGTAGACACTATCTTATAGGACGTATAGGTAGACACTATCTTATAAGACGTATAGGTAGACACTATCTTATAAGACGTATAGGTATACACTATCTTATAGGACGTATAGGTAGACACCATCCTATAAGACGTATAGGTAGATAGCAGTTATATAGGACGTATAGGTAGACACTATCTTATAGGACGTATAGGTAGACACTATCTTATAGGACGTATAGGTAGACACGATCTTATAGGACGTATAGGCAGTGGTGGGACATGATTGCTCTGTAAAGATTTTGAAAATAAAGGACATTGACAAAATGGTGTTTTGGATTTCGGGGTTCGTTTTGCGGTTCGGAGCGTTAGTACTATTTTAAACTTTTTATTCTGCATTTCATGCACTACAAAACACGAGACTAAGTTATATAAAAGTTCAGCCCTACATAAAACTTCTATCTCATTAACAGAATGCTGAAGTAGAAGATCCCAATGATTTTTGTTATGAGAGTCTATATTGTTTTGATCCCGTGGCGAGCACCTGTTCCAGTATTGTACCAGCCCTTGGAACACCTTGTGGAAATAAATCGGTAATACACTTTTATCTTCATCTTCTTTATCAAGAGATTAAAGGTTGGCCCAGGTTCAGGTTACGACTGATTGCATCTGACGGCAGCGAGAAACTCAAAGACTTCTAGCAACTGGTGCCGCCTCGCAGAATATGCTATGTAGTATGTCCTGGGAAGCTTGCCTTTATGCTATTGAACTACAAAACATTTTGATTACATTTTTGAGAACACAAGTTTTCTAACATTTTCAGTGGTGTATTGACACAGAGTGTAAGTATGACGATAGGGCGCCAGAGCGTGATGGTAAGTTATGGTTTTTTTTCTTTTGAAAAACCTTCCTCTCAACTTGTCCGTCTCCTTCCACTCCTCGTCCACTTCTCCCTCCTTCCTTGTCATCTTCCGACTTTTAATTCCCACCTCACCTTTATCCTCCTCTTCCGCCTCCTCTATATCGTCCGCCTCATTCCTCTCCATCGCCTCTTTTCTCCTCTTCCCCCACCGCCAATTCTTCTTTGTATGCCTCGTTCTCTTTCGTCTTCCACCTCCTCTTATTCTTCTTCGTCCTCTTCCTCGTCCACCTCCTCTTCCGCCTTGTCCTCATCCACTTCCTCTTCCTCATCCACCTCTTTGTCTTCGTCTTCCTCTTCCTATTCCCCTTCCTCTTCCTCTTCCTCTTCCTCCTCCTCATCTTCCTCCTCCTCTTCCTCTTCCTCATCCGCCTCTTCCTCATCCGCCTCTTCCTCCTCCTCCTCTTCCTCTTCCTATTCCTCATCCTCCTCTTCCTCTCCACTTCCTCTTCCTCATCCACCTCTTCCTCTTCGTCTTCCTCTGCCTCCTCTTCCTCTTCCTATTCCTCATCCTCCTCTTCCTATTCTTCATCAGCCTCTTCCTCTTCCTCATCCTCATCCTCCTCTTCCTCATCCTCCTCTTCCTCTTCCTCCTCATCCTCCTCTTCCTATTTCTCATCCGCCTCTTCCTCATCCACCTCTTCCTCTTCGTCTTCCTCTTCCTATTCCTCCTCCTCTTCCTCCTCCCCCTCTTCCTATTCCTCATCCGCCTCTTCCTCATCCACCTCTTCCTCTTCGACTTCCTCTTCCTATTCCTCCTTCTCTTCCTCTTCCTATTCCTCCTCCTCTTCCTCTTCCTCTTCCTCCTCCTCCTCTTCCCCTTCCTATTCCTCATCTTCCTCATCCGCCTCTTCCTCTTCCTCCTCCTCCTCTTCCTCATCCACCTCTTCCTCTTCTTCATCCTCCTCTTCCTATTCCTCCTCCTCCTCTCCTATTCCCCTCCCCCTTCCTCCCCATCCTCCTCTTCCTCTTCCTCATCCGCCTCTTCCTCATCCTCCTCTTCCTCTTCCTCTTCCTCATCCACCTCTTCCTCTTCCTCATCCTCATCCTCATCCTCCTCTTCCTATTCCTCCTCCTCCTCCTCCTCTTCCTCTTCCTCCTCCTCTTCCTCTTCCTCTTCCTCCTCCTCCTCCCCTTCCTCTTCCTCCTCATCCTCCTCTTCCTCATCCTCCTCTTCCTCTTCCGCCTCCTCCTTCCACTGTGTCGAACAAATTTGTCTTAGTCTATTTGAATGTATATCCAGTACTCCATATGAAGCACTATCTTCTATTATTTCAGCATCGTGTCTATTCGGGGATCTACCACATGGCTATTTCCAGCTAACGGAGTCTGGAGAATCCTGTGACCAGCGAGTGATTTCTCAGCCTTCAGATTGCTACGATGATTTCTTCGGATCCATGTGCTGTGAATCGTGTGCTCGAATCAGCCGCGGTAAAGCCGAAGGTATGCACTTTATTGGAATATTAGTTTTTATTTCATTTTAGTTTTTGTTTAATTTTAATTGAATAATATCTTTGCATTTTTTGCTATTAATTAGTATTTTAATACTCTTCGTTCTGTTCGCAAACACTTTTTTTTATTATTGGCATCAGTATTATTAAAGGGATTGCAAAGAGATTATAATATTTATCAGTGTCACTGACTCACATAACAAAAAAAAAACACTTTACAATTCCTAAAAGAAGTTCTGGTAGGTTAAATATATAACATCAACTCGCGTATCAACCCTTCTTTACAATGTCAAGCTATTACAAACTTGGTCTCATCCTTGACTTTAATATCCACCTTTCTTGTTTTGCAGACTGCAACGATCTAATTGGATTGTACGTCAGCGAATACAGCCAATCTAAATTCTTGACAGAAAGGCTGTAAACATAATGACTTTATGTCGAAGGTATTGGCTGTATTCACTACAATTCAATCAAATCGCTGTATTTACAAAGTTTAGTGACACAAGAAAAGTGGATATTGGAGTCATCATAGGGTCTTGACATTGTGAAGACGGTATCAGTCATGCTACGCTTTTAATTAGTTTTAGATTTTCTTCACTCTAATTAGAATAAGACCAAACTTTCGTTCCGACGTAAACAAAGAGTGTACTCCGAGAAGCATTAAACACTGAATCACAAAATTCCAGCGATATGGAGGGCAGAAATTTGATTGGCTGGTGGTATCATCAAAGTGGCGAATGTTAAAGAGGTCCGTCTTTAGACCCTAGTTATTTGGCTAACAATCAGGCATTTTATAATTGAGCCGAAACATTAACTGACAGTTATAACACTATAATAGAATATACGCAATATATACAATCGAAGTGGCTAAATTGAAATTTGAACTTAATAAGAAACGGAACGAAAGTTTGATCTAACTTTCATTAGACTGGGGTTTTCTTTTACCTACTAATATAATTCACTAATACTTTTTATTTAGGCTGTGAATATGGTGATAGATCCCATCATTGTTACCAATTTTTATGTGGGTTGAGATTTTCAATGAAACGCTACCCGTATTATAATGTAAAATGCTGTGATACGTGTTCCAGTGCACATGAAATCGAACTTAAAAATTTGGGTAAAGATAAATGGATAAGACGAAAGGGTAAGCGAGGTACTGGCAGAAGAAGGAAACATCAAGGTCAGGGTAAAGGTCGACCCAGGAGAAAAGGTAATCAAAAAGATCAAGGACGTAGGAGTAAGGAAAGGGGTCAAGGTAGAGGTCGTCAGAAAAGTTATTTTAATTAAAATTAAAGAAATAAATGGTTTGAATGAAATATTAGTTTTTATTTTCTTTATTTATGTTGTTTTTAAAGGTATACTACCTTTTAGGATGACCCATTTTTTTTTAACTTAGCAAAAATGAGTCATTGTTCATCCGTGGACTTACTTAGTGTCATAACTATACGACAGAATCCGTCTATAATCCAATAAATCCATCAAACTAAGTAATGACTCATCAAATTAAGTAATTTTGAAACAAGCAGAGAAGTGCTTTTCAATAATTATTGATATTAATAGATATATCGTTTGATATAGAGATTCTATTCTTTAGTCATGGCACCTGGTGAGTCCAACTGATGAATATATACACTTGTTAGAGTTATCTGGCCATGTTTCCAGAATTACACGACTCACAGGGGAATCTGAATGAGGAAATTTTGTTAGAAATATACGTCTAATAAATAAACCACGTATTACCGATCCGACTTTAGTGGGTTGGGGCCCCTCCACTGAGAATGTCTGTTTTGTATATATGCCCTCCTGTTATTTTTTCTGGGCGGGGAGGGAGGGGGGAGGGGGTGCCCCCTCAAGGATGAGGGCCTGTTGACTTTATTCAACCAGTCCTTATGGTATTCTTGTAGTGGTTAGTCTAACTTTTCTCTGTAACTAGTAGAATTCAACTCTAGTATTTAGTACTTTAATAGTAGATTAGTACTTCTACTTTCACTTCAGATGCGTAGATAGTCTAATTGAAAATACCATCTAACTTTTAGCAGGTGCGTTATTCATGTAGACATAAAAACAATAATAATAATAAACCCTTTACATTACATGAGTCAGAATTAGACCCAATACATAAATACATAGGGACATGGTCCTGTTTAACATTCAGCCCATGTGGGCAATATAATGAATGATTCACAATAACTTGATAAACAACCTGTTTAAAGGCACCCAAATACGACCATAGACTGCAAACATACATATCATAATGTTGAATACTATAACCTCTATTAGAACATTAACAATGGATTATAATTTTGTTAGATGTCAACATAAACATTTTAGTGTAGGCATACATGTATTTATAATTGTATCACATGTATTAGAGATAACATCATTTTATTGGTGTTTCGCGGCCATTTTGCACGCCATCTTGGATTACATGCTCTTATATAGGCATAAAGGCATATTTGTAATTTATCACATTTTTAGTGTTCGGCGGCCATTTTGGGCGCCATCTTGGATTGGAATGTTAATGTAAATTGACATCTTAATTTTTTGTAAAGCTTATGACACCTTCTTTCAAAATCAAGTGAGTTTTTGATTTTAGACGAATCTTTATTTCAAGACATATATGTCTACGCTATTTTTCACAATTTAAGTTTAGACTTTGAAAACTTTGAAGGGACATTCCCTGTGCCTTAATAATCTTTTTGGTGATTTTCATGTAAATCAATCATTCGGTATATTCGAAATTTCGGTAGGGTCATATCAGGGGAGGTTCTTGGCTTGTCTCTCAAATCAATGTGTATCTGGATTGAACAAAAATTCGTTTAAAACATTGGTAACTTTCCAGTTTAAGAGGAGGATTGGTCGATATTTAACATACACTCACCCTCTCTTATAAACGTCGGGCTTCTAAATATGAGAATTCATGTTTTGGGTTAATTGTTCTATTCAGATTGTCAGTACGGTGATCAATACCAGCCCTGCTTTACTTTCAAATGTGGATCAAACGTTACAATAGACGACACAGATTATATCTATAACGAAATTTGCTGCGATACATGCGCTACCACTACTACTGTTCCGACTACAACTACAACAGAAGTTACTACTACTGTTCCGTCAACGACTACACCGGAAGTTACTACTACTGTTCCAACAACGACTACACCGGAAGTTACTACTACTGTTCCAACAACGACTACACTGGAAGTTACTACTACTGTTCCAACAACGACGATAACGGAAGTAACGACTATTACCTCTTCCCCTAGCACTTCTCCGACTACGTCAACTCAAGCAATTATGACCAGCTCCACTCCATCTCCGACAACAACTAGTTCTGTTCTGACTACTAGTACTACTGCTAGTACAACTCCGTCCAGTACACGCACGGGTACGTCAACAGACTCCGACCATATCACTACTGGATCGACCAATTCTACAGGTGAGACATCTTATTGCTCATAGAATGAATTTGCAAACGTTCCATTCTTTATTCTACCTATGATCGCACTAAAATACGATTTAAACAATAAAAGTATCGGAAGAGTGCAGAGTCAGTCAAGTTATACACGTGTAAATTAATGGTTAACCTCGAAGGTGGTGTCAGTTAGATTTCACAGATAGGCCTATTCATTTTCACACACCGCTGCAATGCCGTACGCATCTGCTATCAGATTCTTGGTTTTCAGGCCACAAGCAAAAAATGAGAGCTTTAGGCATTTATGGGAGTTATATGCCTGAAATTCTTATGTTTTCCAGGTCACTGTGATGGTAAACAGGAATATCCAGTAGAATGTCAAGCAATGATAGAGTATGGTGGTGATTGTCTTGATTTTCTAGACGTTTGTTGTGAAACCTGTAAAAACTATTTTAACGTTGATGGCACTGGTTCAGCTGCTGCGACCTTGGTCTATTCTGTGAAAACAATTTTAGGTTGTGCGCTGTTACTGTTAGCTTCACGGTGTTGAAAGGGGCTCAATGCCTGAACTGAAAATAACAAGGCCGTAGCGCAGTCCACGTTAAAATCGTGCAAAAGTTGGGGTGGCTTTCTGTGTGCATTTAGAATATATAATTGAAAAACAAAGATACTATTAGAGTAAGGGCGTCTCTACGATCTTAAATTATGTTTTCGAACAGTAACTTTAGAAGCAAGGAGCCGATGGAATCAAACTAATTTCTGTTGGTTGAGAGATTATTTCCCGACCAATTAGATCAACTGTACTAAAAATGCTTATCCATATCAGTCATACAAAAAGAGTTTTCTCTCATCAAGAGGTTGAAACCAAATAAAAAAGGTCGTCCAATTAATGAAAATATCATTATCTTGAAATGAATTTCAAAGGGTTATTTTCAGGTTAAATTTTGTGTAACTTTCACTTGTTTCTCATATTGGAAATTAAAATATAATCAAACCATGACATTGTAGATCACCCCTCGTAAGAAACACCGATGATTATCGATACAGTAGAAAATAGAAGAAATGATTTGTGTCAGCACAGTGTCCGGACCCGTACCTCGTGTGTTCATTTCTTCTATTTTCTACTGTATCGAAAATCCTGCACAATACACCACACCGGGCACCGCACCGGACACCATCCATCCTCTATTCGCGGCTTTACAGAAAAAAACTCTAGAAACACCCCGATTTAAATCAGATTGACTTGAAATCGAGTCGTCTCAATAAAAGGGCTTAACATTTGGTGGCCTCTAAAAATATTTTAACATTTAATGTGGTTGTTTATTTATTCTTCTTAAACTGTTAAAGGATTGGATGTCATATTTTAATTCTAAAAGGTGATACGGATAAATGAAATTGTCAACTGCAGTAAAGATAATATTGGATCAACAAGATTAAAGCCGAAATACTTTAGAAAACACAATATGTTCACAATATTGTCAAGATATTACGTTCTCATCTTATACCATGAGTCATTGACTGTAATGGTCCACTTTCTTGTTTCCTGGTCAGCGATACGATTAGATTGTACGCCAGTGAATACGGCCAATCATAGCCAACGTTTTACAGTCTTTCTGTCGATGGCTCAGATTGGCTGTATTCACTAGCGCACAATCAAATCAAATTGCTGCATTTACAAACTTCTGTGAAACACTGGAGTGGACCACTACAGTCAATGTATAAGATTAAGACGTAATACGTCTGACCATTGTGGTGAAGATGGACAAAACGGGCTGCACGTACCGTACAAACGTTACAGCTATAAATACATTCAAAACTTATCAATATAGAGTCTATTTATGGATTTATCAAATTGAAAGTAGAGTGATGTCACGTGACGAAGAATGGGTGGCCTGTGTAGTTGTTTAGGAGACGACAATCAGGTAAGAAGGGGCCTATATCTATTTTAAGGGTCATGTTGGTTAGCTAGGATTTTCATTAATAGTGTCAATATGTTCCTGTGTGTATTTTAAGCTGTTAATGTTTTTTACGCTTAAAACTTCCTTCTGCTCTGCTTTGTATTTGGCTAAGAATATTTCGTAAATCAAAATATTACAGGGCGCTGTGTGATACAAATTTGAGAGTCCTGAGCTTGTTAGATATTTTAAAAGTCTCACCCAGTTTGTAATTGATGTCTATTTCGCAGATATGGGAGCACTCCAATCATGATACAGTTTAACATCTACAAATATACATGTATGTGATATATTACTAAGATTTATTTGAAGTGGAGAGCGCATTTAACTTTTTTTTAAATATCTCGGAAGAGCTTTTTGCCGGTATATCTGTTACTGACGCTTCGAAGATAATTCTGGATTTTTGTCAGAATTATTTGAATCGAGAATTCGTGGCTTGAAACGCATGGAATTTTTTTCTTACTTATCGTTTTATGAAAATGATCTACATAACCATAACCAAAACCAGTATCTTAATAAATAGTCCTGTACCGTATGTTAATTAAAACGGATACTTGTAGTATCTCGTGACAATGTTCGTAAATAAAATCCAGAGATAAATGGAGTATGACCCATCATTTAGAAAATTATTAATTTGGTATTTATAGTTTTAATCTGCGGTAAATTACCTTTATATGGGGTTTATAGAGGGGTGACCGGCAATTAATAAAGCGATACGGACATCGTGTTAAGAGTGGGGAAGTGTAACGCACTGGCAGAGACGTGAAAGGGATTAACCGTTAAAGTATAAAAGGTAAAGGCCTTTAACCATGTGAAAGTTACAAGCATTAAATGTGGAGGAAGTATATTAGGTGGTTCATAAAATGCGATATAGGCTAACCTTTCATTTCAGGATTAGCTTTGACACATTACGAATACTCTTGAAATGAAAATTCTTATCATTGTTGTTTTCTTTTTTTTTTAAACCGCGAGATATACACACTGAGGTTAAAGGAGCACCTTCACTATCCATTCGACCAATCACACCTTAGTTTCAGAAACAGGAATATATTAAGCTTACATAATGAGTAATAGTGTTCACAGCTTATCGTCCAAATTTGAGCCTTCAAATCCATGTGTGTACATAATTATTCATGTTAAAAAAACACATTAAAGTTAGAAAACACATCCATATATAGAAGTAGACAGTGAAATTTCTAGTTTGAGGTATATTTGAAGGGATTATGCGATTTTCGTGCGTTTTAGTACTTCTTAAGAATTTTAAAGCACAATAAAGACTCAAATCTATCCCCAAAAATACAGACTGTTCCCATTTTAAGGTGCATATCGACGCAGATTGGTGATTGATTATCGATACATAGTAGAAAAGAGTATCGTGACCGTAACTCGTGTATACCGAACACCATACCTCATCTTCCCTCCCCTTAACATGATAGAAACTTGATAGAAATTTGCTTATCATACCTATATATACATGCATATGTTGTTCAAACATTTCAAAAAGGAGATAATCTACCCTTGTAAGTTTATACGTGAAATAACTTAATAACTTATTAAAGGGATTGTTTATCGGGAACACTGATAGCATCAATTTGTACCTTTTCAATTTTTTTGTCTGTAGTTCATGCAATTCCACTTAAAACTTCTAAAAAACACGTATTTCATACAATATCATTGAAAATGAACAATCGAAAAGGGTAGGTGCGTCATTTACAGTGGTTGGTTTAGATCATGAATTTATTAAAAATAGCCTTCGAAAGTACTAGAAATGCACGAAATCGTATAATTCCTTCAAAATGACTCGAACTGGTAATTTTACTCATTATTTATATAATTGTCTTTTCTATATATCACAGAGTATCTTATATTGACGAGTCGTCATTTTAACATTCAAATGCAGATAATTCTGGACACACATGGGTTCGATGGCTCAAATGTCGACGGTGAGCTGTGAACGCTAAAAAAATCCTGTTTCTGAGACTAAAGTATGATTAGTCAAGAAAATGGCGTCAATAAAACAATCTGGGATAATCTCTAATACTCAAATTCAAATTTGTCTGAAGGGTTGGGTGTCTGTTTATCTCACAGTTCAGACATATATCACAACACTATAACCGACATTCGGCAGTTTCCATAAAGTTGCAGAGCGCTAGTGTAACCGGTGACTCAACTGGGGGACCGTGGATTTAAGTGGTTTTGTTTTTATATACGTGCATTCTGAAACTCCTCTATAAGTCATTTTAATGACTGTTAATGAAAGATTTAAAGATTTTCAGTGGATAGTTTCCATAAAGTTGCTAGTGTAACCGGTAGCACAACTGGGGAACCGTGGGATTTTTGTTTAAAAATACATGTATTCGTATACGTACATTCTGAGACGCCTCTATAAGTCAATTTAATGGCTGTTAATGAAAGGTTTTCAGTCTTTAGTTAATGTGTTACTACCATGTGTTTTTTCTTTAGGGACGGGGGCCCGTGGACTTCGTTCAACAAGTCCCTATGGTGACTGAGCCACAGAACTTACACGGTAGGCTGTTGGCACTAACGATCTCTGACTCTAATGTCCGTTTTACGCCATAAGTGGTCATCACCGGGTCAGCAATCGGTTTGTATTATATTTTTATTCTTTGAAAATATTTCAGAAGAGTTATCAGGCGCCAACCCCTAATACTCCTCTTCTGGCAAACATCGGTAGCGGACCCGGCAATAATACCGGAAGTGACGCAAGTAAAACCAGTGGCGGGAAGTCTGCACGACAACATAAACCTATCGATAAAGAAAAACAGTTCTGTAAGTGAAAATATTGTTAAGTTTAGAAATATTATTAGTCTAGACAAAGAAGTATAATTGTCGAGGGATCCGCGACCTGCTGCTAGCGTGGTGCATAGACTAATAATTTCAATGAAGTAGGCTTAATTGCGAATCCTGAATCCTCTTTTTTTATAAGAACTTTATCAGTCATCTTCACAATATCAATGTTATTGTGAATTTCATCTTATACCTTGACAGCAATAGCCACTAGTCTTGTATCGCGGAATGCAGCGATTTAATTGGATTGTGATACAAGAATATTGGCTATTGCAGTCAAGGTATTAGGCGAAGTCCGTAATAGCTTGACATTGTGAAGATGCTTTTATTAATGTCACGTTATTCTATTTTTTCAGTAACGTCCTTACAGCAGTTATCGCCCGTGATAGTTAATGACCTGCCCATTCCTTCCCTGAATAAAACATTTAAAGTAAGTATAGAGAATGTGTAAGATATTATAATTGAAACGAGTGGTAGCATGGGATGAACTCTAAATATAAAAGGGATTGGAAAGAAGTTTTCTAATTTTTTAAGTATATGATAGCATCAATTTGTATCATTCCAATTTTCAATCAGACGTTTTAACAGTCCTTTAAAGACATGCATTAAATTATTGGTTATTGTTATTCTAGTACAATAGTGAAAAAATAGTAAGTTACGATCTTTCCAACCAAATCGTTATCCCACACTGATTGGCCTATTAACAAATTCACCTGTTTCCATATCCAGGACCAAGCCAAGCTATTCAACGATTTATTGGAGAGGTTTGAAGATTTAAGACGAACTTTAAATGATTTTAAACAGATCTATGAAAAAGATACGAGGGGGATCCCAACTTTAAAGGAATGTATGAAACTCCTGTCTACAAACTGTGGTAAGTTGCAGCACCGTAAGCATAGGACCCCTACATTACTGTATAGATTTGTGGGGAGTCCTGTATCTAGATAGGGGATTTACAATTTAGCCATGCTTTGGTGTCCCTCCAAGGAAATTCCACAAGAGCAACATCTTACCACATAGTGGAGAAAACACCTCTACTTGATCAGAAGGGAAGTAACTCCGGTGAAATGGAACTATTTCAGACCACAATATGACAATTTTCTCGCAAGGTATAATTTGCTTGTAGGGACTCGTTGAGTTAGATACTAGCTTGCAAACATGATGGTCCAAGATTCACTCCTGGCATGGATAAAGATAGTAACTTCTGATCATCCCCTGGTCAGTGATGCAGGTCTGAGGGGCTGACATGAAAAAATGGTCTGGTCTTTGACATTTTGTGCAGAATATAGAACAGTCTAAAGTCTAAGTAAATTATATCGAATTCTCAGTAGTAATACAGATATTTGTAATTCAGCTCTGCCTGCTACTAAAACAAATATACGGATGACCACACCCCTTTAATAGTTTCTTTTTTACATGGAAAAAGCGTCTGGTCGTTCGGATGGGACAATAAACCGAGGCCCCGTGTGCTACAGGCTGTGCACGTTAAAGATCCCTCGACAGTTGGAAATCGAAAAAGAGCAGGCTAATGCCGCTGTCCTGGCAAAATTTCCCTCACTGCACCCTGCATGGCGTTGCCTGTCTTCATTAGCCCACATGGTGCAGAAAAGTAGGACGTAAAACTCCATTCATTTCATTTCATTTTTTTGATATTTTTGTTTTTTTCTAGGTGAGGCTAAAATCACAGGAACTAGAACCAAATATTCAGTCATACTAGAATACGACGTCAGAGATGTTTCAGACTGTTGTCATGGGTTACCAGAAGATACTCTTGAATCACTGCAACTCTACAACAAAGCAAATGCCTTAATCCGAAAAATAATGGAACAGACTCCGCATGTGAAAGACTCAATTCAGCTCGTGCTTGATGATGAGGAGAAACTACGTCGCGACGTCACCAAGGAAAATTTATCCGCATCTCAAGGACCGGAAGCGTTAAAAATATGCGTCAGAAACATTAACAGTTTGAGATCGATTCCAAGTTCATTAGAAACCATTCAAAAATACACAGACAAGTCATTTAAAGATTTACTAGAGTCTTCTAAACCTTTCTTCAGTGATCGTGAAATCTAGCGTCTTGAGCCAGTCTTGAGCCAATATCTGAATTAATATTTACAATAGTAGTATTATGCATCCGAAACTACTTATAGTTCTTACATGGAAATAACACACAATGATTATAAATCTCTTTCTTGACTTATTAAGTCTTATTTCTAAAAGTTCCAATATTTCAACTAAGCCTTCAAATCAAATTGAAAGAAATGTGAATCATTGTAGCCGTTTAAAGAATTCTACTCATTAAGTTGAAGAAATGATTCAAAATGGCAGTGAACTATGTTCGTGTGTGTTATTTCTACTTGTGCCATACATAGTTTTGTATGTAGCATTATGTACATAAAAGATATTTTCATGTTAGAGGGATATAGCCAGGTATAATAGCAAACAATAAAACTACAGATGCTTGTTACAGATTCCTTTCCTTATTTTCTTCATTCATATGTATTATTGGATGGCTAATACTTACGTCAATCGAAAGTAGAGGTGTTCTAAGCATTGGGAAAAATTGCCAAGTGTAGATCAAATTTTTTTTTTTTGAATATCCAGTCAGTCGATATTTGCTAGTTTCTGTGAGTAGACTCAGTCATTAAAGGCTGACACATTTGACAAGGGCAGATAACTCTGTCTGAAGATTGATTTTGATTTGCTAAAATAGAATAGTGATTTGCACGCAAATCAGTAAAGTATAAAAATTTTAAAATAAATGTAAGAACAGAACAAATATATCTCTCAAGACAGAGTAACAGAAATGATATATTTCAACTACCAGTAAATCTTTACTGAGCTTAACAACCTTATAGAAATGTAACATGTGTTTTTATATGTCTTCGTAGACCTTTAGAAGATGCAAAACACTTTTCACAAACATCACATTGGTAAGGTTTCTCTCCAGTATGTGTTCTGATGTGAACAGTTAGTGAGCTTGACTCACTGAAGCATTTTTCGCAAAAATCACATTGGTAAGGTTTCTCTCCAGTATGAACTCTCATGTGAACATTAAGCGAACATGACTTTGTAAAACACTTTTCACAAACATCACATTTGTAAGGTTTCTCTCCGGTATGTCTCCTCATGTGAACATTAAGTGAACTTGCATGAGTAAAATCATTTTCACAAATGCCACACTTGTATGGTTTCTCTCCAGTATGCGTTCTCTTGTGAACATTAAGTACACCAGCCTCACTAAAACATTTATTACAAACATCACATTTGTAAGGTTTCTCTCCACTATGTACCTTAGAATGGCTTTTTAGACTAGGTAAGGACATATAATTCATCCCACAAACATCACAATTGTAAGGTTTTTCTCCAGAATGTATTCTCATATGAATAACCAGATTACTTGACTTCGTGTAACATTTTTTACAAACACCACATTCATATGGTTTCTCTCCAGAATGTTTTTTCAAGTGAGTCTGTAGACTACTTAATTGAGAAAAACACATTTCACAAACATCACATTTGTATGGTTTCTCTCCAGTATGTGTTCTTAGGTGAATATTTCGGGTACTTGCCTCAGCAAAACACTTTTTACAAACATCACATTGATATGGTTTCTCTCCAGTATGTGTTCTCATGTGACCTTTAAGTTTAGATACTACTGCAAAACATTTTTCACAAACGTCACATTTGTGAATTTTCTGTTTTTTCAACGTATTTTCCATTTCAAATTAATATTTATCTTTTTATTCTTTTAACTGTGTGTAAACAACAATGGCAGAACAGGAAGTGTTATATTTTACGGATCAACTTTGATTTATGGATAGGATACTGATTTGTAATAAGAGGTTGAATAATATTCGCAAACTGGGCTACTATTTGCTCTTTTAGACCCTAATTAAAATTAAAACGAAGGTTTAGTAATAAATAAACACAGGACATCCTTTTATCACCTCAACTAACTCTTCCTAAAAAACTTACAAAATATTTTTGATTTTATCATCAGGCTGCACGTGTTTATACATGATGTTTTGAACCTGGAGTATTTACAAATTTTTTTTTACAAATATCACATTGATAAGTTTTCTCTCCAGTGTATTCTCATGTGACCCTTAAGTGAACTTGTCGTCGTAAAACCCTTTTTACAAACATCACATTGGTATGGTTTCTCTCCAGTATGATACCTAATGTGAACTTGTATTACAAAAACATTTTTCACTAACATCACATTGGTAAGGTTTCTCACCAGTATGAACTCTTAAGTGCCTGTTAAGACTTTCTGACCGTGTAAAAGACTTTTTACAAACATCACATAGATAAAGTTTCTCTCCAGTATGAATTCTCATGTGAATTCACACAGTGAATATGTGCTTCATTAATATGTATTTATATATACAAATATATTATAAGATAGGTTAATGAATGATAAGAAATATCTATATTCAATAATTGACAATTGAACGTGACTCAATGCTGCCTTTAAGTAGAAAATACCAATACAGTCTGCTTTAGTATATCAGAATTAAGCCTGAGGCATCTTCTTTAATAACTATAACAAGTGATTGATATTATAATTTATTTAGATATACTACATGTATTATAAAGGTATTTTAATGAACAATAAGAACTATTTGTATATAAATAACAGAACTGAACTTGACTCAATGCTGACTTAAAGAAGTTCAAAGAAAATGTTATATATCGAGTGTCCCAAAACAACGTCCCACAGTTCGACGGGTAATATCTCAGCTGTTGGTAAACTGATCTCTTTCAAAATTCTCAGAGATATACTTCAAGATGTCGTTGTCCAACCCTGAAAATATTGAAGTCATCAAATAAAAATTGTACAAGGGCACATTGAATACAGGTTGAAAGAAGTAAGTTGCCTTCATATTGTATTTTTTGCCATGATATTTTGTTTTGGGCAGTTCTTGTACAATTTTCATTCAATGACAGTCAAAATGTCAACGGTTAAGACAGTGTTAGTTTTACAAAACACTTTTGTTGATGAGTTGACATGGCAAATATTGTAGTCAAGTTAACTTTTGTAGATAAATTCTCTGTCAAATTTAATGTAGACGCAAATATAAACGAGTTGCCTGGTATGCTTTTTTCAGTATGTCTTCTAATGTTGGGATGGAAACAAAAAAGGTAATCATCGCTGGCTCCAAACCTTGAGTAAAATCTACTGTGTTCCATAACAGGAATTATAACTATGAATTATCCTGAGTATGTTTTTTCATGTGATTTAACAGATTGCTTGACTGAGTGAAACACTTTCCACAAACATCACATTTGTAAGGTTTCTCTCCTGTATGTATTTTCTTGTGAGTTCTTAGAGTACTTGATTGAGTAAAGCACTTATTACAAACATCACATTGGTATGGTTTCTCTCCAGTATGTATTTTCATGTGAACCTTAAGATGATTAGCCCGGGTAAACCATTTACTACAAACATCACATTGGTAAAGGTTTTCTCCTGTATGTATTCTCATGTGAACCTCAATTTGACTAAACCATTCATTACAAACATGACATTGATAAAGTTTCTCTTCAGCATGAACCCTCATGTGAACCTTTAAATTATTTGATCGGTTAAACCACTTTTTACAAACATCACATTGGTAAGGTTTCTCTCCTGTATGTGTTCTCATGTGAACTTTCAGATCATTTGATCTTGTAAAACACTTTTCACAAATATCACATTCATGGAGTTTCACTACTGATGTAGTATGCATTCTCATGTGAGCATTCAGGTAACGTGACGATGCAAAGCACTTTTTACAAACATCACATTGGTAGGGTTTTTCTCCAGAATGTGTTCTCATGTGAACAATAAGATGACCAGACCGTGAATAACATTTTTCACAAACACCACATTTGAAAGGTTTTTCTCCAGTATGTATTTTCATGTGAGCTCCTAGAGAACTTGATTGAGAAAAACACTTTTCACAAACATCACATTTAAAAGGTTTTTCTCTTGTATGAACTCTCATGTGAGCATTAAGGCTTGATGGTGCTGCAAAACATTTTTCACAAACATCACACTGCAGAATTTTCTGGTTTTTCAGAGAATTTTCCATTACAACTCAGAGTATCATTTTAAACAGTGAAAAACAGGAAGTGTAAAAATTACGGAGTAACTTTGGATTTATGGATAGGTTTTTGACAAGAAGGTATTTGTAATGGTAAATTACGGTTTCAACAATGTTCACAAACTAGACCATCATTTAAAATCTTTATAACGTTGAGAATATTATTTTAAGTTCAGAATCTGAAATAATTCATTAAACATCGTCAATTTTAAAATTCAGCATCCATTTTTGAAAATTAACAATTCCTAAAGGGGAAAATGCGCCAGTTTTTATTTGTACCCATCATACTTGTCTCGGAAACAATTTTTTTATTTAAACCAATCAGTTATAATCTTCACAGCTCACCGTCGAAAGTTGAGCCCTCAAATCCATGTGTGTCCAGAATTATCCGCGTTTGAAAGTTAAAATAGTGAGTCGTCCTTTTTGTGACACATATATAGAAAAGACATACTATAGAAATAGGAAAAAAATTTCCTAGTTCGAGATAATTTTGAAGGAATTATGCATTTTCGTCTATAACAGGTACATCTAGGACTATTTACATAATATGTTCTAGACTCTAGCTTTTTTCTCCAAAATGGTTGTCAGAATGCAGAATTTTCCTGAGACCCTCTATGAGAGGCTTGCGACTATAACACCTCCACAGAGTAGCCAAAATTTGAATTCAGCCCTAGCAGTTGTCCCCCCATTGAGTCGATCTGCCCCTGTAATGAAATTACACAGTGATTCCAAATCTGTCCTTATTTTTGAATTCTGAATTGAATCTAGATTAATGTAAATTGGTTCTTCATTAGCGGTAACAATATCTACATACGTGTTCTAAACAGTGGATTTTCTGCAATAAATACATACATGCGCAGTGTAAATAAATGGAAGATATAAAGAGATTATGTTTGGTTTACTTAGATACCTTTCCCATAACCACTTTGGTTTTTTCATACCCATTTGTGACTAGTTTTAGGTTTATTCCCCTTACACCCCTTCAAAGTTGTTCAAATAACCCCCTACCCCCCTTCCAAATGTACCTTTTCTTTAGTCTGTTGTTTTAATAATAAAGAATATCAAAAACGGAACAAAATCAAGTTTTATGTCATATTTTTCTGCAGTTGATATATCCCTAATGAGCTTGACCTATATCTCTAGTGAGCTAGACCTATATCTCTAGTGAGCCTGACCTATATCTCTAGTGAGCTTGACCTATATCTCTAGTGAGCTTGACCTATATCTCTAGTGAGCCTGACCTATATCTCTAGTGAGCCTGGCCTATATCTCTAGTGAGCCTGACCTATATCTCTAGTGAGCTTGACCTATATTTCTAGTTAGCCTGGCCTATATCTCTGGTGAGCCTGACCTATATCTCTAGTGAGCCTGACCTATATATCTAATGAGCCTGACCTATATCTCTAGTGAGCTTGACCTATATCTCTCGTGAGCCTGACCTATATCTCTAGTATGCTTGACCTATATCTCTAGTGAGCCTGACCTATATATCTAGTGAGCCTGACCTATATATCTAGTGAGCCTGGCCTATATATCTAGTGAGCCTGGCCTATATCTCTAGTGAGCCTGGCCTATATCTCTCGTGAGCCTGACCTATATTTCCAGTGTAGTGTGACATTATAATGAATGTAAGTAGAAATATTAAAACAGAACTTGACTTATGTTGTTACTCAGAGTTTCACGCTAAGTGATCTACAGACAGCTGACATATTTTCAGCCTGCGTCCTTACTGAAGTTGGACAAGTATTCTCATGTCTACATTTCGAGACGAGTTCAGAGCGTTTTTAAAAAGAAGTGTTCAACAGGTTAATATTACACAGTTTAAACCATAAACTTTTATAAATAGCAAACAAACGCAACCCATATACTCTATATCAAAACGACACTTACTTTTGAAATTTGATCATGTGTGACAAAATGTTTATAAAATTGTTGAAATTCGATACCAAAACTAAAAGGACTCTACATTCATAAGATTTTGGCCAGTGTGTTACTATAAAGTGTAAGTAAACTAGTGTCCAAAAGAAACGATACCACCTGTTTGCAACGACATAAAAGCAAAACTAAACAATGCAGAAGTTTAGGATTGGTGTTATGCTTTTGAGAAATCCTTTCAATAAAATCTGTACAACCAATATGACAAGCCTTTGAAGATGGGTGGGGTCGAAAAAAGAATATTTCGTTAGAGCACTGATCACAGAAACAACGGGAAATGTTACACCACACGTCACAAAGTCAAGTCAGTAGCGGGTATGTCCACCGTGAGCATCAATACATGCCAGAACACGCCTACGGACTGATGCCGTCAAACGTCTGATGACGTTGGGAGTGATGCGTTGCCATTCCTCGAGGAGACATCGTTCCAAGTCCTGGACGTTGACTGGAGGCACACGGCGACGTCGGATTTGCCGATCGAGGTGGTCCCATAAGTGCTCGATGGGATTCATGTCCGGTGAACATGCGGGCCATGGCAAAACCTGTACGTTGGCGTTGGCAAGGAAGTTCTGTGTCAATCTTGCTGTGTGTGGCCTTGCATTGTCATGTTGGAAAAGGAGTCCACGAGGCTGTTGCTGAATAAAGGGCACCACAACAGGCCGTAGGATGTCATCAATATAACGCTGTGCATTCAGGTTTCCACGAATTACGACAAGCCTCGTTTTGACGTCACCACATATGCCACCCCAAACCATTAACCCTCCACCTCCAAACGGCCGGACCTGTTGGATACAGTTAGGCGCCAAACGTTCACCAAATCGTCGGTATACAAGCTGCCGTCCATCGTTTTTGAAGATGAGGAATCTGCTCTCATCAGAGAACATAACACGTGCCCAGTCCCGCCGTTGCCAACGTCGAACTCGCCTGGCCCAGATCAGTCTGTTGTTCCGGTGTCGAGGCGTCAGGAGCGGTCCGCGGTAGGGATGACGTGGCCGGGTACCATATTGCCGTAGTCTCCTGTAGACGGTATGTCGACTGATCCTGTGTCCCAATGCTGTAGCCGCCGTGGACGTCGCTGTTACGGTGCAGTTCCTCAGGTGTAATACCTGGATGTAACGATCTTCACGGGGCGTGGTTACTCGTGGTCTTCCACTCCTGGGCCTGTCTGACGTCTGACCTGTATGACGTAACCGCTGCATCAGCCTGGTGATAGTGATGCGTGCGCAGCCCAACCTTCTGGCGACGTCGACGTGTGTCGCTCCTGGTTGGACCTTTCCAACGGCTCTCTCTCTCTCGATGGCTGTCAAACGTGGCATATCTTGTGTTCTTTTTGTTGCTGTGATATCAACGTGTCTGATCAGCCGTTTTATACAGTTTTTATGCAAGTGCAGAACATGCTAGAGAGGGAAATGTCACTTTCACGAAATTTACGTTTTTTCCCGGAAGTGATCACTTGTTCCCGGTATTTTTATCGACTATACTGTGTTTGGGATGTGAAATACGAATTGGCATGTTTTCATATTAGACAATTCACTTAGTAAAAAACAATTTTGAAAATAAGTTGGTATCGTTTCTTTTGGACACTAGTTTATTTTATATTTTTTACAAGAAGCATGGTAATGATTTCAATATTTGGAGGTTGTCATATTGAAAAGTATTAACACTATAGTGTATACTTTAGGCTGTAACGTTGCGGTTAAGATATGTTACGAAAGCACAGGCACAGGCATGTAGGCGTAACCTCTAGTGAGAGAGAATTATTTGTGAAGTTTGAATAATGATATAGAATATTTAAAATGAAAATCCATAATCTTTCCGAATCTAAAATATATATTGAAAGTGACAAGTTACTATTGAAGTGTATTGTGTTAGATGATGATGATAACATTTGCCTTGGTGACATATATAGTGTTAAGGTAGTAGGTAGAGAATAGTAACAGGTGTTTCAAATGGTTTCCATTATTTTTATGAGAATTGGAATAGCAGCCTCAAAATAGTAGCCTACTGTTAGTCTTAGAATGTCTTTGCGTTGATATAAATATAAACATGAGCACATCATTATGTCTTTAATTTGTTTTTACAGACGAAAATTTTCAGTAAAAATTTGTGACTTTAATTGGTTATAATTTCTAGGAGAGACATATGTTTCTTTACAATGTAAACTTACAAAAGATTATATTTTTATCAACGGAAAGACATGCTAAGACTATTAGTACTATTTTGAGCTCGATATCCCAATGTTCATGAACAATATTGAAAAAAGTCAATTCTTTTTTAAAATGCTCAGACAATAGTACGATCTAACTACCATCTACTACGACTAACAACAAATGTCTTGTCTGTGATATCTTCAATCCCGGCATAAGTCGATATAATACCTTCGGATTTTTCAACCCGGTTTCCTGCTGTCAGTGATGCAGGTACGAGGGGCTGACATGGAAAAAGCGTCTAGTCGTTCGGATGGGACAATAAACCGAGGCCCCGTGTGCTACAGACTGTGCACGTTAAAGATCCCTCAACAGTTGGAAATCGAAAAAGAGCAGGCTAATGCCGCTGTCCTGGCAAAATTTCCATCATTGCACCCTGCATGGCGTTGCCCGTCTTCATTAGCCCACATGGTGCAGAAAAGTAGGACGTAAAACTCCATTCATTTCATTTCATTTGTCTGTGATATCGGCTTCTGCTGGAAAATATTAAAACAGAACCCTAAAAAGATGTTGGTTTCACGCTATAGGCTACGATTTTCAGACAACTGGCCTATTTTCAGCCTGCTTCAATACTGAAGTTGGACAAGAAGAACTCATTCTACACAATGCGATCTTTCGACTACTGACCTGCATCCCTACTGAAGACGGACAAGTAGAATAACAAAGTAAAACTAGCTAGTCCATGGCCAAACCTCTTGGCATTGATCTTTCCTGTAGTATAGGTACCCATTTACAACGGGCTAGATATACATAATGAGTGACGATGACTTATTCAAGGTCAAAACTTAGATCTGTGGTACCAATTGAATTCAAAAGGTAATGTAGACTACAAAATCAGTCAGGCTTTGAAATTGTCGTCTGCAATAGTGATTATTATATTTCCATTATACTTATTCATCCTCATGTAATAGAACAGTTAAATGCGTCATAACAATAGTCTTAGTTTTCCAGTGTCTTAAAAAAGCATAATAGTATCTTTGTGAAAAAATGACTTGATAATGATGGCTAAGTATTATTAGGTAATCATGGAGATGTTGACTATTATGAGATGGAGAGCCTCATGAGTGGATTCTGTATCGTTTTTCACCGTTTTTCAGTATCTTTACGTTCTCTTTACGTTTATTGAAGTGCATCTCCGTCTTCATTTACGTTTGTGATGTGTCACTTTTATGTTTCAAGAATATAACAATTCTCAAAAACTGTGTTTTCGATATTTGAACCGCGTGACCACTGACTCTATATACTTCCCCATGCCGTAATAGGTATTAAATCTTTGTTTGAATGTATTTTCAGTCAGTCACGGATATGTTTTACTTAATTTGTTTGTATTTTGTAGTTTATTAGCAACTATAACTCACCTTAAAGGACAGATGCGCCATTTTTGGGGTTGATTTTAGTCTTCTTTTCAGAAATGTACGAAAATCGCATAATTCCTTTAAAAATATCTCAAACTAGGAATTTTACTCACTATTTCTTTATATGTCCTTTCTGTATATCACAGAGTATCTTAAAATGACGAGTTTAACATTCATTCGCAGGAAATTCTGGACACACATGGATTTGAAGTTTCAAATTTCGACGGTGAACTGTGAAAACTTTTACTGATTGGCTTAACTATAAAATTCCCGTTTCTGAGACTAAAATGTCATTGGTCAAAAATAAAAAGGCACACTTGTCCATTTAACTGTATTTTTTTATTAGAATATTGATGTCACTCGGACAGTTCAAGTAGTGGCTAAATAGTGCAGAATTACATTTTTTGTCTCCTGGATTCGAATTTTGCCAGGATAAAATCAAGATCAAGATCTTTTGTCACGGCCATTGTTTTCGACTTTCCCTTAAATAATTTTTATTTTTATTTTCCAGACTCCAGCTGCTAAAGTGAGATTTCTTGAACAGTGCTAGAATTAAAATCCTGTCTATAAAAATTGCCATCAAAATCTGTTTTCTATAGAAGGAAAGTCATCTCAAACTCTTCGGTAAGAAGCTATTCATTTGAGAGTTTCAAGCGTCCTGCCCTTGTACCCCTTCAGAGTGCTGGATACTATCATAGTGCCAAACAATTTTCAAGCTAGTTGGACACCATAGTGATGTATGCTCTAGTCCCATTCTGAAGACAGAAAAGTGTCATTGTGCCAATCAGTCAGCTTGCAAGTCGGACAGCCTAATAAAGATACTGCCGGCCAATCAAATTTCTGCCCTCTCCAACGCTGGGATATTGCGACGCACCCAAAAGGTCCATTCTGAGAAGCATGAGACACCGAATGCACCTTTTGTACGTATTTTATTCACTGGCCGTGTCATCAATCAAACGAATGTTCAAGAGGGCCGACTTTAAACCATATTTGAAATGGCTCAATTAGACATAAAAGCTAATAAGAAATAAAACGAAAGTTTGGACTAATTGCAATTCGATTGGAATTGTTCTAAAGAGATGTCAAATTGATAAATTCATGGAGTGACCTCGTTAAAAGAATGAAGCGATTACTTTTCCATAAAAATGTGCCCGCTTGAAGCGACCATACTCAGTCTGTCTGGTCTGTACCGTTTACACCGCACTATTTCACTGGGCCAAAATGGTGAGTCATAAGTAGACATCTACTCTCCAGTCAGAGAAGGTGAAAAAAAAACGCGGACATTCCAAATGCCGCCAACCACAAACGATGCAATGGTTTTGAAGTCGTGATTAATTTTGTCACGTTCAAAAGACAAGCGATTCTTAAAAGTCATCATTGCACGTGCACACATCTCCTTGGGTAAGTGGCCCAGTGGTAGTGGCGCGTTTACACTGCACGATTTTTTGCCGTGCCGTGGTCCGGACCGAGACGACCTCTTCTTGTGGGACTCGGCACACTTGAAACTAGCACAGTGCCGAACCCGCTCAACCTGTTTACACTGCCACTTTTTCTGCCGAACTGTAAACTGTCTGGATAAGATGTGGAAGTCTAAACGCGGCTATAGTCGCTGCTGCAACTTAATATCGGCGTTTTACTTAAAGTGGTTGAAAGCGTACACTGGAATAATTTTGAGAGCATAACATCAGAATACATTTTATCTTAAAGAGGATTCTAAATTACGGCATATAATCGCCCAGCAGGCGACAATCCTACTCACTGCTGACTGAGGTTTGCCACTCACTGTTTAATTCTTGTATAATCCATTTTCTATTTTGCAGATAGAAGTCTAATAATGGATAAACTTCTGCCCAAATTTCTGAAAAAACGTTGGAAAAAGCACTAAAATGCAGATGACAGAAAGCGGGAGGAATCTGGTTACAAAAAGAAAAAACTATTTCCTAATTTTCTGAAGAAATTTCGTAGAAAACACCAATATGCTGATGACAGACAGTGGAATAAATCTGGATATAAAACGAGACCAAAGAAAAGTAGAGAGAATACTTACTCCGTCCCACGTTACGATTTGATTGGTTTATTTAATTCATTAGCTTTCCCAGCTCCTAGTCGAACAAAAGTTCCTACTCGACCAATAACTCCTACTCGACCAACAGTTGCTACTCGACCAACAGTTGCTACTCGACCAACAGTTGCTACTCGACCAACAGTTGCTACGCGACCAACAGTTCCTACTCGACAAACAGTTGCTACTCGATCAACAGTTGCTACTCGACCAACAGTTCCTACTCCACCAACAGTTCCTACTCGACCAACAGTTCCTACTCGACCAACAGTTCCTACTCGACCAACAGTTCCTACTCGAACAACAGCTCCTACTCGACCAATAACTCCTACTCGATCAACAGCTCCTACTCGAACAACAATTCCTACTCGAACAACAGTTCCTCCCAGAAACAAAACTTCATTAGTTCATCACAGTAGCGGAAATGACGTGGAAAATGGCATTAAATCACATAACGATATCGAAAGTTTATCCGTTCCGTATGAATTTTTGGATATTTTGTTTTCTTACCAAGTTCCTTCACGGCAAACACCCAAAAATCCAACTTCATCATATTATCATAGCAACGGAAATGACGGAGCTAATTGCAAATCACATAACGATATGAGAGGTTTATTGGCCGAGTCTAGAAACAAGTGCGAGAAGAGGAGATTGCCTTGTGGTTGTGTTGAAGAATCAACAAGTCAATTTGAATTAGAAGCAAGCAACACAAAACTATCAAGACAGTCGCCTCCTTCTTTTGAAATAGAGGATGGCACTGAAATATGAGATGGCGATGAACCAGACGAGAGTGATACTGATAGTATTGAAAGTTCTTATTTTTCTAGTATGTATAGTTACCACCAGTCAGAATCAGCCACAGAATTAAAAGTTAAGAGAAAACATCACAGTTTCAAAGATCCATATGAGAATAGACAATATGAAGGTCCAGACATACCACCATATGGTGGTACGGATGCCGAATCATCCACAAACGAAGTTACTTCACATATGCTGACATATTCCGGACCTTTGTCTTCTCGACCCGTCAATTGCGAGCGAAAGCCAAGTGCACTGGCATTTAATGGGAATGACTGTCTCAGACAACCCGGTGAAAGTGGTGATACCAAGAATGTTGAAGAAAATCACCTCTCTAATTCAAATAGAGGAAAACTAGCACAACATACCAAATTCTTCACCAGACAGGAAGAGAATGATGATTCCAAGCAATCGAAAAAGAACGAAACACCTAACTTGGACCAATCAAACGACAGTTCAGCGAATGTGGATCTGATAGAAACCAATCGTCTAAAGAGTTATGTACACCTGAAATCTGAAACAAACCAAAAGGTTTCTCATCACTCAATTCCATCACTACAACCAGAAGACAACGATTCTTTTTACCAGGTACAATCAAAAGGCAATAGTCAAAGAAATCGCAGCCGAAGAAGAAAGTCAAACAACCACGAAGCAACCAAGAATAATCAAAAGGCTTTTCATCATGTAATTTCTAAAACTTCGTCACACCAACAAGCCATTTGTCATTCCAAAACAGAACGTAACGAGTCATCATGTCAGGACCAATCAAAAAGCAATTCATTGAACCCAGATCGTAATTTAACCTACCCTAAAGGAACCAAAATTAATCCACCAATAATCCAAGACAAATCAATCCCGAGCAAAGTGCATCTACCAAATCATTTTCAAAAGATTGTAACCTGTCCGAAGTCAAAACCAAGTCGCAACTTTTATGTTCTGCTGCTGAGAGGCGAATTGTCAATATCTTTTGTTGCCCTTTTGGATATAATTTTAGGCCCTGATAGTAAACACAATTTACTATCTATTGACGTAGAACCGATCTTGGACCTTGAAAGCACGACCATAAACTTTTCCGACGTCCAGAAAGCTGAACAGGCTTTAAAGCAACTTCGTGAGTTCAACTGTCAAAATCTGCTTTGTACTTGGACTCCTGTGGATAAGCGTATAGAAATTTTGAAGACATATTTTAACGACTTTGAATTGCATTCTTCTGACATTTTGAAAACTCACGATGAAAAAATTCAAGCCATCCGAAAACAATTGGAAAGTTGTGCCTTTGATGAAAAGGAAGCCTTAAAGATGCGGAAAGAGGAGCTAATACTACAGCTTAGAGAGTTGACAAGTTTTTCAGAAACGGTTCGGGAATCTCTTCGCCGTTCCATTCTATTGGAGGATGAACGTACGTTTCAATCAGAAGTGGAGAAACACGTTATTGGTTTTGGGGTGGAGTGCAACCGCCTGAAATCGGCGCTACCGATCTACGCTCGAAAATCTGATATTCTAGACGTTATTCGTCAACACCAGGTGGTCATAGCCCGTGGTGAGACTGGTTCTGGAAAAAGCACGCAGTTGGTTCAATACTTACACCAATGTGGACAATACACCGCGGGAGTCATCGCTTGCTCCCAACCTAGAAAGGTAGCATGTGTCAGCTTAGCTAAACGTGTAGCAGATGAGTTTGTTACCGTGGTGGGTAAGATCGTCGGATCAAAAGCGGGTATGAAAACGGAAACTTCGCCTCAGACTAAAATAGTTTATACCACCCATCACACACTGCTTAATGAGTGTCTGAATGATCCAATGTTCCGGCGGTACTCTTGCTTGATGATCGACGAGGTTCATGAACGTAGCATCTATACCGATATATTATTGAGTATACTGAAGAACTGCTTGCCCAAAAGACCAAGTTTAAAAGTTGTCATTGCATCTGCTACTATTGATGTCCAGTTATTCAAAGATTATTTCATCGCCGCACCAGTAATTGAAGTTTCCGGTAGAGCATTTCCGGTAGAGATAATCTGGCAACCCAAGTATCATCAATGGACGGATCCGGTTCAAGAAGTCGTTTCAAAGGCTATCGAGGTTCATGCTTCGGAAGGTCCTGGAGATATCCTGGCGTTCATAACATCTCAAATAGAAACGGAAAAGTGTAAAGATGAGTTTGAGGACAGGATGAAGAACAAATTCAACTTCAAGTGTCTGATGCTTCATGGTCAACTTCCTTCTGAGGAACAAGCTCTAATCTTCAAACCAACTAGAGAGGGTCAGAGAAAGATTATTTTTAGTACCAATTCGGCAGAGACGTCTTTGACCATTCCTGGCATTAAGTTTGTCATAGATTCCGGTTTAGTGAAAGAGATGCAGTTTGATGCAAGGAAGAACATGAATACGTTAGTGGTTGTTCCGGTCAGTCGGAGCTCAGCGGACCAGCGAAAGGGTAGAGCAGGACGGGTATCTCCGGGGAAATGCTTTCGGTTGTATACAGAAGGAGATTACCATCAAATGAAACCGACAAGCACTCCAGAAATCCTCCGAATTCATTTGTCCCAAACGTTATTAATGCTGTATGAAATGAACTTAAAACCGTCCGATTGTGAGTTTGTAGAATCGCCACCTGATGCGGCGATCCAAACAGCGATTGAGACTCTGGAAGAACTCGGAAGCATCAAGGATGATAGGATTACAGACATTGGGAAATGGTTGGTGAAGATTCCCCTCGAGCCGCGATTTGGTTGTATGATTAAAAAGGGGTTTGAAATGGGGTTCGCCTATGAAACCATCGTATTTACTGCTTTATGTAGTTCCTCAGGATCTATATTCTATCGAGGAGGCAATGATCAGCAGAAGAAACGAAGCGATTTGAAGAAGCTGACATTTTGTGACACTAAGGGTGATGCTTTTACTTATTTGAAAATCTACAAGGAATGGGAGCAAGTGACAGAAAAACGGAAGAATAAATGGTGCTTTGATAATGCCCTTAATTCCAAAACACTTCGCGGAGCCAGAGAATTGGTGAACGAGATATGTTCTATTTTTAAACATAACTGGTCCATTCTCGTCAAGAAAACTTTTTCTACCAAAGTGGAACTTGAAGAAGCTCTCCAGAACATTATCCTGTTTGCCTTTTACGAGAATATTGCCCATTCTTTAGGCCACAATAGGATGGGTTATTACATTCCTAACCTACGACAGAGAGTCTTTGTCCATCCATCGTCTGCCCTGAACTCTTTAAACGATTCGAGTCAATGGTTGGTGTTTATAAACATTCTGAAAACTTCAAGAGATTATATAACCGTTGTGACGCCCGTGGAGGAGTCATGGATTCGGAAGATTACCTCTTTAAAGACCAAACAATTTGATATCGACGAAGCTAAGAAAAAATCAGTGTGCTCAGTTCGTAATCAATTTTTCGGTTCCACAACATATTCATTCTTTGTTGGTCCTGCTTACACGAAGCTAAAGGCTTATGGAGATTTACTATACGAATCGGTACAAGTCCCTGTGGTCTTAGAAGCTGATCGAAAAACTGGGGAAGTCAAATTCATCTGCGCCTTTAATGCAACGATACCAGATGATCTGATAGACGACTGGGTTACCGAGGCTAAAAGTCACGTGATACAAAGGACTGCTGAATATAAAGTAGGCCCGAACAACCAGGCTGGTGGAGTTCGAATCGTTCTTGGTTTAGGTGGTGAAGGTCAGCTGATTCTGATGCCTGACGAATACCGGAATATCCACATCAAATCGTCAGGTAAAGAGACCAGTAAGGAGACGGTGGTGGACAAGTTTAAAAGATTTGGACAGATTGTAGACTGTTGGGAGGATAAACGATCTTACTATAGATGGGGTCGAGTAACGTTTTCTACACCAGAAGCTGCTGCGGAAGCCGTAAGAAAAACACAAGATGATCTAAAAGACGTGGCTACACCGGAATTCAAGATTAAAAAAATACGCCTCCTTTCAATATCAAGCAAGTATTGAGTGGGTAAGACGAAAGCCAACTGGGCTGGTGTTTGTGGACATGGATTATTTAGAGGCGATGTCGGTGAAGTCACTTCGCGAAGTTAGGATACTGGGGAAATCATGCAGTATCTCGTTGGGTAAGAAACAGCACAGACCCGTGCTTTTTCACAAGGTGCCAAAAACGGTAACAGAACAGGACATCCGTAATTGCTTGCCAAACGATTCCCAAAGGAGAGCTATAACTAAGATCAGCATCATAAGAGAGAAAACCTTTACGAATCCAAACGAAATCCCATACTTCCAACAACAGATACACGACCAGTTTCAAGAATTCGACCATGATATGAAATTTGTTGTGGATGTCATGAAGCCGTATGATAGTAACAACAACTTTAGAGCATTCATAAAGTTCAACGATGCTTCTCAAGGCACAATGGCGTGTGATGCTCTACGAGGAAGATTAATAATCAATGGTCAAAAAGCAAATCTAACACCAAAACTATCGTCGTCTCTCTCAGTACCGGAACAAGTCTACCAATTACTTGAAGACGAAATTGAAGATTTTACAGCCGAATTAAGAGAAAATGGCACCGAGTTCAAGCTAGACAGTAAGAAATTGAACAACGAAAGACGAGTTTTTAACATATCAGCTTCGAATTCGCATGACCTCGTGCAGATTCGATATGGATTGGCGGCCATTGTACAAGGGGAGGTAATGGAATATTGGAGCAACGAGAACAACCGGTATTTATTTCTGAAATCCGGTCGCGAATTCCTCCGTAGTTTGGAGAAGAGGACCATTACCATTCTTCAAGTGGACAACACGCTGCTCAGTCTGAGAGTTTTTGGATTGGAAGATAACATATTAATGGCACAGAACGCAATTGATCAATATCTAGGAAACATGGTTGAAGGCGATGGGCGTCGGGAAATCAAACTGGATGGCGAGTCTCAACCAAAAGGCTTGATGAAAACCCTAGTCATTCGTTATGATTTAGAACTGGAAGGTTTTGTACAAGCGTCTGGACTGCAGTCAGCATTGTTGAACCACCATAATCAAACGCTGAAGATATCTGGTGATTCAGCAAGTATAGAAAAAGCGACCGGATTGATCGAGTCATTGGCTACTGAATTGAGGAATAAAATCACGAAGACGAAAAGTGTGGAGTTGCCAGATTGTTGCTCTTGTCTATGTCCGGTACAAAGTATGGACTATATATACCGACTAGAAGCATGTGGCCACGCGTATTGTCTGGATTGCATCAAGCGGCAGATAACTGTGGCTGTTCAAAGTAAAGAGTTACCGGTCTTGTGTGTAAATTGTCAAGACCCACTTGTTTGGTCAGATTTTGAATTTTGCTTCAAACGACTACAAATTAACCCTTTAGACTTGGTGAGAACAGCTGTGTCAGTGTACATGATTAGAAACAAAGATGGCTACCGACATTGCCTAACCCCTGACTGTGCAATGGTTTATCGTATTACTAAGAAGTCGGATGTCTTCAACTGTAACGAATGCGGCTTGAGAATCTGTACGTCCTGTCATGTTGAATACCATGATGGTTTGACATGTGCTATGCTGAAGAGTTCTAGTGACGTTGACTCAGACATGGAGAAATATTTGAGAGAAAATGCAACAAGGGTGAAGAGATGTCCGAAGTGTTCTACTCCGATTGAGAAAACACACGGGTGTCACCATATGATTTGTAAGGCATGTAAAACCCATTTCTGTTGGCTTTGCTGTGAGGTTTTTTTACTACGAAACAGTCTACGTATGCTCATTTAAATGCACAACACGGCCGGATATTTGAATACCGATAAATCAATCGGTTTTAGTCACCAAATACCAAAAAAAAAAAAAAAGAATAAAAAATTAAAAATGGAATATGAAAATATCAATCTTTTATATGAATCGTTAAGTTAGGTTTGAATTTATTATATTAAAGTTTGAATTAACTATATTGAATATGTTTGAATTAACTATATTGAAAATGTTTGAATTAACTATATTGGATATGTTTGAATTAACTATATTGAATATGTTTGAATTAACTATATTAGATTTGTTTGAATTAACTATATTGAATATGTTTGAATTAACTATATTGAAAATGTTTGAATTAACTATATTGAATATGTTTGAATTAACTATATTGGATATGTTTGAATTAACTATATTGAATATGTTTGAATTAACTATATTAGATTTGTTTGAATTAACTATATTGAATATGTTTGAATTAACTATATTGAATATGTTTGAATTAACTATATTGAATATGTTTGAATTAACTATATTGAATATGTTTAAATTAACTATATTGAATATGTTTGAATTAACTATATTGAATATGTTTGAATTAACTATAATGAATATGTTTGAATTAACTATATTGAATATGTTTAAATGAACTATATTGAATATGTTTGAATTAACTATATTGAATATGTTTGAATTAACTGTATTGAATATGTTTGAATTAACTATATTGAATATGTTTAAATGAACTATATTGAATATGTTTGAATTAACTATATTAAATATGTTTGAATTAACTATATTTAATATGTTTGAAGTAACTATATTGAATATGTTTGAATTAACTATATTGAATATGTTTGAATTAACTATATTGAATATGTTTGAATTAACTATATAGAATATGTTTGAATTAACTATATTGAATATGTTTGAATTAACTATATTGAATATGTTTGAATTAACTATATTGAATATGTTTGAATAAACTATATTGAATATGTTTGAATTAACTATATTGAATATGTTTGAATTAACTATATTAAATATGTTTGAATTAACTATATGAATATGTT